ATCTTTTTTTTTTTTTTTTTTTGTTCCCAAACACACCCTTAAAATGCTCAAATGAAGACTTTTGTTTTTAAACGCTCAACAAATACAAAAGGATGAAAAGAGGTTTGTAAATAAATCAGTCCCTTTAGCCCAGATCTAAGAAAACCAACCTTGAAGGATACAAAAATTACCCTCCTAGGTGATTTGATAAAATTGAAATTTATATAACAAAAACAAAGCTTAAAAAAATAGAAATCAGTGAATGAAAAACACTAGATCTCTGTCTGAAAACACCTGAAATCACTAAAAATACAAAAAATAGAAAAACTTAATTTTAAAAAAATTAAACTCAAAAATTTAAAACCAAACAATGTGATTTTTTTTTTTTTTTTTTCCCTTTTCTAAAAGCAGCGAAATTTTTTTTTCCCTTTTCTACAAACTGATATACGACAGCTTAAAACTAAGAAGCAGATAGGTAACGCTAAAGCTCCAAAAACTTTTGGACAGTAAGCACAGGAAGATAACTAGTATTTAATGCTTGTTAATCAGGTTACATTTCAAAAATGGTATATACGTATTACTTTTGTTATTCAACCTGATTTTATTATTAAAGATGTAATAGCCCTTGTTGATAGTGGTGCTGACATGAATTGTATATGTGAATGATTAATTCCCACCAGATACTTTCAAAAAACTACTCAATCACTTACTAGTGCTAGTGGTAATTCTATGCACATCAAGTATAAGATACCTAAAGCTCTTATCTGTAATCAGGGTATTTGCTTATTTACATCTTTTGTCCTTATCAGAAATATGTCCCCAACAATCATTTTGGGAACGCCATTTTTATGTCTTTTAATGCCTATCACTAAAATTGATCCTATAGGCATTCACACGACTATCAGTAATCAACTACTTATTTTTGAATTTATAACAGAACCCTACACAAAAGTGCTAGATCAAATTCGTAATTTAGTTACTTTTAAAGAAAAACAAATTAGTTTTCTTCAAACATAAATTCATTTTCTTACAGATGAACAATGGATGTTTGATCCATGGGAAATCAAGATTATCTTACCACGCAACAATTTCCTCCTCATTTTGACCAGTACAAATATGTTTATGAACAGATACTTATTGAAACTGTAGCTGCGAAGATCAAGCATACTTTGCATGATCCCTCCAAAACCGCTAGTCCCATCCAGTATAGTAAAATTACTATCATAAACATTATGCCCATTGCCACATGGGGTATTCATCCGCATACTACTCGTCACCTTGACATTCGTAACAGGGAAACCCGGTATAGTTATTGGGACTATATCGATGCTTTTACTCAAACATTTTAAAATCTCCTTGTCCTATGGTTAATATATATGGTTCTTTGCCTGGTGTTCAAAAAATAAAAAATAAAAAAAGTACCTGTTATAAACAATTATTAAGAACTAATAATTTATGTTTATTAAAATAATAAATAAACTAAGCTTGGAAACAAAATTAAAAATAAGAAACAATGCATTGCATATCCAAGAATAAAAACAATTTATGTTTAGAATATATCAATAGAAATCAAAATGGTCAAGAAGTCAAATTACTTAAACTTCAAGAGTAGCTCTCATTAGTGTGAGATGAACAACATTTTAAAGAGGTGATTTGCTAAAAAATTTGCACAGAACCTGATAAGTTGTTTTAACAATTACAACCTTCAAGGCTCTCATCTTAGCTACTGCTTTAAAGTGACTTTTACAAGGAAGGGCTACAAGCCAAAACATTTTTGTGGCATCCAGGGGTGAACCATATGGAGTAGTTGCCAGTTCTAACCAATAAGAAATATACAACTTTGCAGCAGCTTCCAAGTCTTCCACTGAGCACTAATATCAATTGAAGGAACAAGAATTGCAGCAACAAGAAAAAAATAAAAAATAAGCGAACCATTTCAAGCATTAAGAACAATAAGAGAGTGAAAATCGAACCAATATAAATAAGATCTAGATAAGAGAGTGAAGCATTAAGGAACTGTTGCTTTGAATGTCAAGACCGTGATAAGATCAAGATGCAAGATACTCTGTCCCAGATTTAGCTGTTCCCTTGATTATCGATTTAGGGTCATTGTTGCTCACCTGAAGAGCCTTCTCTATTGCTTTCACTAAGGCAAGAGTTCTATCTTCATTTTCCTCATTGGTCTCTGATAACCCACACATTCAAATATTCAAAATATTAGAAACATTAATTACATTTACCATGTTCCTGTATGTAGAAAAAAAACCAAGAATGTAAATTTGGGTGATGTATGATTTTATCCGTCTTACCTACAGAAAAATAGGAAATAAATAAATAAATAAATAAGAGAGTGAGTTTTCATCGAGGAAATTAATGGACACGGAAAACAAGTAGAAAAATAAATAATCGCCTAGTAAAGATTTTCCCTCTGCCTTTCGGAGAGTGTTTTCTAATCTAAAAACTAAAATGGCCATATCAATAAGGCAGGGACAATCAATATAAATAATAACAACATTTATCACCGGATAATCCTTATTGATCTAGGAAAGGGATATATTAAAGGAAACAAACAGCTAAATAATTTGAGGTATGAAGTGGGTTTCTGTGCAGGTTCTTTCTTCACAACCCTGAAGAACAAAATTGCCATATTGGCAAAAATAGGTGCATCAATACCCTCTTGTTGGAAATTCATAAAAGTACAATATAACTTTAACGACCAAAATCAATTGCCATTGCATATTCTCAAGGTTACGGTAAAAGATGCGTCAATCTCCTCTTGTTAGAAAACCTGACCTCTAAGTTTAAAATTGCAGTTAACAAAAGTAAAATAAACGGTTCATTATAATCCATTCTAAAATACAAAGCCCATATGTTCACAGAACCCTTTTTTTTTTATTTGAAAGCATCTTTGCAAATAAAAATTGAGCAAAAAATTTGAAACAATATATTCATACTCAAAGTAAATTCTCAGTCTTAGACCTACTATGGTACAAAAAAAATGACCTATCCTCTACAAATACTCTTGAAAATAAGAAGGAAAGAAAAGAAATCTAAAAGAGGAGAATCAATATTCAAAAATAAAATGAAAAATAGAATAATTCCAAGAGGGAGGAGACATTCTAGTCCGCTACTTATTTAGCTTAGCTAATTCAGATGCATCTGATGGCAACTTAAACTATTTTGCATGAGATAACTTCAAACTATGTCATATTTTGGTACAATTTAGAAGAAATTTACTCTTTTATTCAAAAACATTATAAACTAAATAATAAGTTTTACCAATCTTTTAATTGTTTCTCGCTCTCTTGCCAAGTCTGAATAGATCATGAGTGACTCTCCCATTGCTTCTCTTAATTATTTCCAAAAAAACTCATTACTACTTCAAACAATGATGCCGAAAGAGCAAACAAAGTTACCTTCCAGTTCAAAATCTTCTACGTATCCACCTTGAAGGAATGAAAATCATGCTTCTTCCAACTGGTCTCTTAATTCCATTGGAAATGAAATCAGCAAATTATGAAATTCCATCACATAAGCTCCTGTCCATTGACTTCCTCTGAGAAATAAAATCATAAACAAACAAAAAATAATATGTTAAGCAAGGATACTGATGAAATACAGTAATTGTAGAGAATCAAAATGCTTTAAGCATGAATTTTGGACAAACACTCCCTTCCCACACAATTAATTTATTGTTTTGAACCTCTAATCTAATCAGCAAGTTTTACTCCACTTCCTTATTTCCATTCATCAGTACAAAACACGAAAACAACTTCTCTACATGTGGAAGGCTGCGTACATCTAACCCTTCAGTAAGCATTACACCTAAAATGTTATTCCACAAATTGAGATAATACTTAATACTAAGGGGAAGAAAAATAGTATAATGACCTACAATTTAGAAAACACAACAATTAATTCGAGCATATTTCTTAGCAAAAAGGTCCAGGCCTTTCACAGTGGTGATGCATTTTCGCCTTTTTCGAACCACCTTTTCTATGAATACTTCTTGTTTATCCTACAAAATGAAATCAAAATAAAATAAGTTACAATTGGACATAAACAAAAGTCCTAGCACCTCTTAATAATTACTCTTACCCAGATTCTTATTCTAAGCATACAGTGTCAAAAACAATAAATGTAAAAACCTTAGAGAGGAGACCTTGAAGCAGATGTTGTAAGGAACATGTCAAAACCTTGGGTTAACGATTAAACGTGTGGTAGGGAGAAAAACTGCAATTAGAGGTAGGCTTACAAGGATAGGCAAGACCAGGAAAGGAGGCTCAGATGGCAAAGTAAGAGGAGGCCGGGCCAAAAAGGACTGGTGCTTGGGAATGGTGTGCCAACTAAACTCGTCACAATAAGAGGAACAAGACCCCTGACCAAAGGACATCAGGTATGAGATGGGATGAAGTTGAAGTCACCAATAAATCCAGTCATCTTGCTAATCATATTTGATTGACAAGGCAGTGAGCAGAACCATGCAAAGGCCTGCCAACGCTGGAATAGCCGCTGAACTATTTACAAAAAACTATTCCATAAGAAAATCAGCCTCAAATGATATCACCAGACTATATAAAAGGGAAAAGAGACATGACAAGTACATTGCAATAATTAAAAACATGTACATTCTATTTGCAACAAATACATTAATTGGACTGAATTATACAAGTTACTATATAAACTCATGCAAAACTGTAAAGATAAGCGCAATGAAGATCATAACATCACTTTTTAAGTATACTAGAGTTTATATCCACCAGTATACACGTGTCCCTTACATGCTTCTTTTCTTTTGGCCACCTGTCTGACACATTTCTAGGAGTTTTAGTATGGTGTCTGCTAACACATAGGATGCAAAAATGGCTCCTCATGAAGCTTACTGTTTCATGGATGCCTAATCAACAGTCACTATAGCTGTGTAATGGTGTTCGGGTATTTTCTGAAAGATTGAGAACATGTTTGAGAGGTAGAGCACAATATCTAGAGGTGATGAACAAGAATCTAGTTTTACCTACAAAAATAATATGTTAAGATGGAGTTAAGAACCATTAACTAATAATTAGACTAATAAATAGGGGAATTTTCTGGCAATACCTGCTGAAAGCTATCATGGCTTCAAAAGGGGTAATAACAGGAGATAAGAACTTTTTGCTATCCAAAAGAGCAGTTTGTGCACAAGAAACATAAACGAAGACATCACACTGCAGAGAGAAGAAAGTTTGTTATAGAATTTTGTATTATAATCTCTAGCGAAAATAGAAAATCATCTGCTTGCATACATCAAAGTTTACCTCCAGAAAGTTGGCAAGTTTAGCACGCTTCGGTTTTCCCATAACAAGAGAACATTAGAGACTAACTTACCCGACCCAATTGGGGGAAAACCAAAGTGTTCAAAGTGGCTCCAAGAGCAAAAGATGAAACTGCAGCAATGGAAATGAACTGAGGCAAGCAAGACTAAATTATTCTAGAGGCTGCACCTCCAGTAGAAACCCATCTCTTTGCTTTTATGAGGAACTACAGCAGTAAAATTTTTCAGAAGAGAGAGGCTAACAAATATTTTGATACATGGACTTTTGTAATACAAAAGAACAAATTTGATTGCTAAATAATCAAATATTATAAGATATCATTTACAATAAACCCATTTTTTTAATGCATGAATCTTGTGATAGTTTGTGAAAGGTAGAGGAAGGTCTAATAAATGTTTAAAATTGATGAAGTAGATGCTTAAATATAATAAAATTAGCAAAAATGTACCACAATAGAGTGAACTGCAGGAGCGAAGCTTTACTTCTTTATTTGCAGGAATCTTAGCCCCCTTTTCCATGCAGGTACCTCCATGCTGCATTCGGCAGTAGGGAATCCTTAGAAAAAGTGAATATTTCAGGATCAATGCTATACACAAACATACACTTGTGCAGAAACGATGAAATAAAAAAAGAGGAAGTGCAAAAAATTAAATGTTCCCCATTGTAATTGTTTTACAGAATACTAGTAGTTTGAACGTTGATCATATATTAATGGAATGCCAATGTGTGACCTTTAACAAAATTAAGAGAATTGAGGTCATGGATCAAGACTTTCATATGACAGCAGAGTGTATTTTCAATTCCAAGTTTTGTAATCCTTTTAATGACTTAAAAAGTCAATCAATCGAGGAATCAGTCTTCAAAAAGAACCAGAAACAAATTAGTCATTTGCAGTCCAAATATCCTTCAAAACCAGACTACATACATACAAGCCTTGGTGATAACCTATTAGGTTAACCAAACCACTGAAAATTTGATCAAGATTTGTTTGCAGAGAGAAATGAAGCAGAGTGACAGATCTAAAAGAAAAATGATGAAAAAGATAACTCTTATTTCTTATTATAAACAGTAAGTTCTAATTAGAAACAGTTAATTGGTCATAAAGTTTTGATGTTACCAAAGTTAACTATTAAAATATAAAAGAAAAACAAATCTCAGTCATACTTTTTTAGTACATGCTTTGCTTTAAAAATTCAATCAAATTCAACATAATAATTAGAGAACACTATTTTTTTTCCCCAATCGGATGGAAACAGCAATTTTATGTTTTATTTTATCACCTGTCACACACCAGAGATGGATATACACTTTTAGTAGTTTTCCTAATTTATTAGTAGTTTTCCTTCACATTATTTTCCCAAGAAAATAGAAAAGAATTTTCGTCTCTCTTTCTTACTCCCTTCCTTGTACTGAGCTTCTTCAAGAGTCCAACTCACCAACAACAATGGAAGCTAAAGACATCAAAATGGGAAAGGGATATAGGCTGTTAATTCAAATGTACTTCAAAATCACCAAAATGTTCACAAGTAACTCAGGATTAAGCTGGAAATCAGGATTTCAAGTTTGAATAACTCAAATTACAAAACTGATTCAACACTATTGACTACCAACTATAACTAGATTAGTGGATCATTGAACATTAGCAAACTCATGATAAACCAAGTCAACTAGCAGCATCAAGAACATCAAAACATTTCACACAAACAAAACATCAATCACTGAAACAGAGATTATGATGTGGTATTTTCATTGTGTAGAATATATATATACATATATATGCATATATACAATTACTTGGCAACGATCAAATCAACAAACCAGAAGAGGGTTATAGTATATAGATATATATATATATATATACGATAATCATATACATACATATATATATAGAGAGAGAGAGAGAGAAAGGGGTAGATCCGAATCTTTCTGCCTTCTCTCAATGTCTTGATCTCGGCATATGCAATGCCTTGATCTGCACAAACGAAAATTAACAACCAAATCAGCAGAGAGACCTTCGAAATCGAGAGAGAGAGACCTTCGAAATTGAGAGACAGAGAGAGCTTCGAAATCAAAATCGAAATCGCCGAGATTGTAGATGGCAGTGCTCAAAATCGAACTTTGAAATCGCAATCTCTGTGAGAAACTACGAGATTGAAGCCATACGGATGCAAATAGGTTGGCTCTGAGAAATTTTGAAATCGCAATCGCTCTGAAGAAGAATCTAGAGAGAGCAAGAGAGTGAGAGATTTGAGTGAGTGATAGATTCGAACTAGACGACGGTGGGTTTTGAAAATAAAGGTTTGGAGAGACATAATAGGGTTTGTAGGGAGACAGGATTCGGAGGCATTTCAAAGCGTCTTCCATTCCTAAAACGGGGTCGTTTGATTCATATCAAATGCGAAGTTTAAAAAACGCCGTTAATTGTTAGAAAAAGTGACATATAATAAAACGTCATTAATTAAACGCCGTTAAATCTCTAATTTCTTATAGTGATGATTATATTTTTATACTCAATTATATTAATTAAAACTATTTAGCTAATATAAAAATGATCCATGTAATAGTGATATTGTTTAATTTATTATTATTTTGATATGTTGATGAAAATCAATATTGCATTTTATTTATTAAAAATTACATATTCTTTATCCCCAAAAATTAAAATCATCAATCCAACACCACCACATATTTTTTATCCCCTAAAATTAAAATCATGAATCCATCCATCCAACACCACCACCACCACCTTGTTCTCCACGTAGCCTTTTCCTATTTTTCCCGTCCATAGTCTCCACATCAACGACGCTAACCTAACCATAGTCTCCACATCAGCCGCACTAACCTTTTCCTATTCCATAGTCCCTAGTCTCCTGATCACCACACGCCAATCACCATCGCAAGTGATCCATTGAATTTGTACATGACGCTAGTAAACCAACTCTCTTTAAAAATTTTAAAAAGGTACTATCTCATTTAAATTATGTCATTTTATTTAAATCGCATCATCTCTCTACCACATTACTTCAAATCTAATTTATATTTCATAAAAAATCAAAAAACGCACTTATTTAGAACATCTCAAACAACTCCTTAGCGATGGTGTGAAAGGTCTGCAGGGGAAAAAGGGTTATCACTAATTTTTATTTTCAGAATTCACTTTTCAAAAGATTCTAATTTTTTTTATTTTTTTAAGTAATTTTTTAAATTTTTAGACACATCTAATATAAATACAGTTAAAAAGTATAATATTTGTGAATTTTTAAAAAAAAAATTCACTAAATACCAAAAATATAAAAATACAAAAAAAACCAAAATTCAATACATTTTTGGTATTTTTGTATATTTATTAATTTTTTAAAATATTTTTTTACAAATATTTTAATATTTAGATATATCTAAGTGAGGTGTATCTAAAAAAATTTAAAAACATTATTTAAAATTTTAATAATATTCACTAAAAGCAAAAGAAAATACGAAAAAAAATAAAAAACTCAATTTTCAAATATTTGAATTCAGAAAATTAGAACCAAACCAAACACATTGAATAATATTTTAAAACAAAAATATTGACATCACATAAACCTAACATATATGTCATAAATCATTACTTTGGAAATAAAGAATTCTTAAAACTGTAACAAGATTTTTCACGGTTCGTCGGTCACATGTCTCTAATATTTTTAAAAACTATGGATAAATTTTAAGAATTTTATTGAAATGTGTTAAAATGTACCATGTTTCAAACAGATGAACTCACTTGAATTTAATCATGGTTTAGGAGTGATTTGGGGAGTGACTTTTTTTAATATTTTTTGATATTTTAATTAAAATATGAAGTGAAAAAAATTAAACAGTTGGAAAATAACTTTTTGACTTTGTATAACAAATAAACAAATAAAAATAGAGAGAATGGAAGAAATCTCTTAAATTTTTTTATATGATTTTTTAAACTTTTCTAGTGATTTTCAAAAAATCTTTTTTACTATATTTTTTTTCTTCCCAAACACACCTTTAAAATGCTCAAATGAAGACTTATTATGTGTCTAGTTTTGGGAAGTTGGTTAAAAATTTATTTATTTATTTTTATTTTTTATTTTTTTGAAAAAATATATAAAAAAGTAGAAAGATGATGTAACTCAAAATAGGTTAAAGCCTGGCTTCTACCTTTTAGTCAAGTTCCCAAATTTATATGATTTTATTTTTGGATAAATTATACTCGCCTCCCTTGAAATTTGGAGAAAATATAATTCATCTCACAGTTTTGACCCAATTATTAACAATTAGCCTTTTTTCTATTAATAATTCGTGGTATGAATAAAAAATAATAATAATGTTGTCATTTTTTTTTCTACTAAAATACATATTTTTTAATCTTTATTTGTTTTAGTGTCTACTTATCTACCATCTACATTAGTCTCAATCGTTTTAGTCTTACTAAAAGAGAAATTAATATAATTACGTCAAGAGTATAAGATTAACTATATTTTTTCTAAATGTTAGAGAAGATAAGTGTAATTTACCCTTTATTTTTTGGGTGAGACCTCATGGAGGATTCTATTTATACCTAAGAAATCATTTAGGTCATGTTTTTTTGGTTCCATAAGATGGAGGGGATTAAGAGTACGGTGAGATTAAGTGAGAGATCATTAATATGCTGGTACTAGGTTAGAGATGTAGGATAAATAGTATTTATTTGTACACCATCAGATTAGTAATACTATAGATAGTATTAATATATAAAATTAATATATTTTAATTTTTAATATTTTTTAATATTATAATTATTATTTTTTTGTTCTAAAAATATAAAATTTGCATTAAAATTATTTAAAAATTCACTAATTCCCCCACTTAATTTCTAATTTAAACTCCACCATGGGATTGATAGTCCTACCAATAAGGGAATTACTAGTCGAAGAGGATAGTTAATTCCCCAAGTCATTATTCTAATCAAACACTCTATGGCCATGTTTGTTTTGCGGCTTGAGTTGCCAGATTCATGACCGTGGGTCCCACTCGCAACATATTTGGTAGTGAAATGGGAGGGCGGATTGATAGTCCAAAGGGCATAGTAATCCCCCTTAGTAATGGGATTAGCTTAACTGAGTTTTGGATAGGATTATGAAACTAGTAAAAGGATTGAGGTTATTTTATATATAAAAAAAAATTAATTTTTTTTTACCAAGTGAACCTGTTTGTTTTAGTTTTTTTATTATATAAAAATAAATTTTTTTATTTATTTTATATAAAGATAATTTAACAATCCCATCACTAACCATTTCTCATATTATTATTAAAATAAACACACTTTTACTTAATCTCCTCACTAACAATTCACACATTAACAATCTATACGCTAACCATCCTCTTACTAACAATCTCATCCAACTTAATCCGCCAAACAAACGTAACCTATAGGTAAGTTCCACGGACAATTAGTTCAATCCCCTCCTTAAAGAGCCAAACAAATATGATTTTAGTATGCACAATTTCTCAGTACTCTCTACTCAATTATTTAACATTATAAGTTACTCTCAATACACCCTATCTTTTTATTT